GTGAACTCAGGTCAATTTCCAATTTCCGCGGAGGCGGCTCGGCATTCCACCACACAGGAAGTTTTGATGTATAGGACATTGCTTTTTCTGTCGACATGGCAATTTTATCTTTTGTAATGGTTTGTTAAGGGTAGGCAAAAAGTTTAAAAGGTGAAAAGGTTATGGAAGAGTTTGCCGAGACTACCTTTTACAGCTTCGCTGATGAAGAAAACTGCAAACAGATTATTCCACAGTTGGTCGTCTGTAACCAGTGACTCAAGTGGAGCAGGCTTGTTTGGCTCAGATTCACTCACCGGAGGGTGTCCTGTGTGTTGTCAGGCCATTTGACCCTTGAATTAAATTAGACTGCACTTGGAGCCATCATGGGCGGACATTAATGCTTTTGCATCCAAATAGCTGTCTATTTAAAGCGCTCAATGCAGGCCTGCAGCTGAAGGCAGTGTGACCTCCAAGCACCAGTTTCTACTTGAGAAAAATAAGCAGCCTTCTCATTTTTAAAACAGAACAACATTTAGAAATGTTGTATGACTGATACCTAAACCGTCTGATATTCATGTGTGTTCGGTAAAGGCAAAGCAAAAACTAATTTGATCAAGAGTTAAAAAAATATACTGACATTTAATCATTTTTCTGTCCCCCCCTCCCACATTTCACTTGTGATCTTTTCACCGTTTATCAGGCAAAATTCCCCATCCTATGTTGGAAACATGCATTACATCTAAAACTACACAGCGAGTTGCATTTGAGCAGAAGGGGAAATAAACACACAGAAAATGATTTTCTTTTCCATGCAAACCTTGTGATATTTTTATATTTTTTTTCTCCTAATTATATAAAACCCATCCTCTTAAATATGGCACTTTTTGCTAAAACACATCAAGAATGTCTGAGGAGGGAAAAACAAAACAAAACATAACATACACACACACACACACACGATAATGGACAGTGATGCGCACACAAAAATCCGTTTGATATAAACATAGATTTGTCCTCATTATCAAAAGGACAGAAAGAAAAACATTTAATCCAACCTTGTCCTTCAGCATAAAACATGACTGAAAATGTTCAAGTAGAGATTTCAGTTTTATATATATTTGAATGTTCAAAGATGGAGAAAAGGAACAGCTTGTCCAGTCATACTTAATCAAGTCTTTATCAGTGAGTCAAGTGAAACACATGGCATTCATATGTAGGTCTGATTCTAGGTCTTCATCAAAAAAGATGAAATAATTGGGAACAGCAATCTTCTGGGGGATTTTCACTAATCTGCTACACTCAAGGCCCAGTTCTGAGCTCTGAGATATCATGATTGTATCAAGTGCCTATCTGACATTACAATGCATGCAGGGCTTAAACTGAGTGAGGAAAAAAAAAGAAAAAAAAAAAAGAAAGAAAAGACAAAAGAAATCACTGCACCTACAGAGGCGGAGGCATGGAGAGGTACGTGGCTATGGACAAAATGCATTTACTCCATTAGGTGAAAGCACAATTTCCTGATCATGCAAAGGGACCGTGAGATGAAACGACAACCTGCTAAAGAAGTGCAAGAGCTGATACACTTTGGATCAGACTGAAACTGACCCACATTCCTGAGGGACAGCGTGATGATAATCTGCATCATGACTCAGAGACAACAGAGAGCTGCAATGTGGCACTACACAAGTTCATCTTCCAGTGACTCGCTCCTGCTTTTGCAGCTGATAGAGTCACTCACTGAGGCTGACGCAGATAACCATGAGCTTTCACGTCTAATACCACCATACCTTTTATACCAGCATTATTAGGCTTTAAAGTTTGATTCCACGTGCCAGTAACTGCTGTGTCTTTTTCTTTGGTCCATGCCACCTTTCACAGGTGTTCTATAGTAACATGGTGGTGGGGAGGAGAAAAAAAAAAAATCCCTACAACACTGGTCAGCAAAAGACGACAAGAACCTGAACATGTCTATGGAAGATCAGGAAGATGAAAACAAAGTGACCCACAAGCAGAACAAGTCCAGCTCAGAAAGCTTTCTTTTCCAGCTGGTCCAGAATGGCCTGGATTCTCTGTACAGCCTCCTTTCGGGCTTGCCGGACACTCTCCTGTCCCTGAGTCTCCACAGAGTCTAGCACCAGCAGCTCTTTGGTAAGCAGTTCCTCCAGACAACGATAACTCTTGTCTGTTTTTTTGCCAACAAACTCATCAACGTCTTCCTGAAGCAGCAGTACTCTGGCCATGACCTGCTGGACCTTAGCCAGACTGGGGTTATCGCTCAGGGGCTGAGGTGCAGCCTGACTTGGAGTTGATGCTGGAACCGAAGGCGGGGCCTCAGCTTGCGAAGCATTAGGATCACCTCTCCCAGTTTTATACATTTGTGGAGGAGAACTTATTTCAGTAGGATTACCACTGGGGGGATTCGGGGATGGTGCTGGCTTCGGTTTAGGTCCCACTGGTGGGGCGCGTTGGTGCTGTTGGTCCTACAGTAACACAAGAGTTTGAAAAATATTGTGTTTAAAATATTTGATAATATAAGGCTGTAAACTGACTCAAATAAATATACCTTAGAGAAAATTTGGTATTTAATTTTTAGAAAATCTAATCCCTCCAAAAACAGATGCTATCCACCCAGAATAGATGCGTGATTACAGAAAACAAAGTGCAATGGCTGTTCTAGTTTTACAGTTCATCATGACAGTTGTAATACATTGTGTGTACATCTGTGTTTCACAAAAAAACAAAACAAAATCTCTTAAGATGCTTACCTTGGGCTGGTACGGTGGAGGAGCACCTGTTCCAGTTCCTGGCCACGCTGGAGGATGTGGTGGACGGCCTGGATTCCCATAATGGTTTTGTGGAGGCTGTTGCCCCGGCGGCCATGGCTGCTGTGAGGGTACATATGGACCAGAGTGTCCCCATGCGTCAGCCTGCTGGCTGGGATGAAGTGACTGGCCAGTTGGGTATGGGGGATTTGGAGGCAACGCGTGGCCACTATCATTGTAGTGAGGGTACGGTCCGGGAGGATATCCAGGACCCTGAGAGCAGAAGACAAATGTCTCACATTCAGAAAACGTTTCTTTTGCGTTTAAAAAAAGGCATCTGTTTTTAGATTAAAAAAAATAAATAAATAAAAATAAAATTACAGTGTATAATATACCTCATTTGTAAGACTTTATTTAAACTATTGTTATATTTAAAAACTGTGTGCGCTTAAATGCACCAACCCCTTGGCAGTGTGGCCCAGGGTAGTGATGATGCTGGTGTTGAGAATGAGGCTGTCCAGAAGACCCACTGCTTTGCTCTGCATGGCAGCCTTGGTTAGGATAAGAACCCGGAGCCGGTCTTTGAGGGTCAGCACAGTAGAAAGGGTTGGATGGGTGGAAACCACTTGTTGAATACTGACTCTGTGCTGGACTGTAGACTCCATGGCCGTTTGGATAACCACCAGGCATTACCTATGTGAAAGACACAAGAAGGGGAACTAGTTATTTAAAATAAAAAGTATAAATCCATCAGAGATACAACAACTTTGACAAGATAGATGTTAATATGAAAATGTAAGCATAAATCCACTAACCCAACCTTAGAGTTAGAGGTACTGGTTATGCTGCATCTGTATAGCCATACCTGTGGATTGTACTGTGGTTGAACATCTGATCCAGAGGGATAGGTATTTGCATAGTGCCCTGTGGAATGAGACTGAGGATACCAGTAGTGTGGAGGGTAGCCTGGATACTGAGGAGCATCCTGCAAATACAGTCACAAAGCATGGTTGGCACCAGAGTACTTACAAATAGACATTGGTATGACACAAAACTTTAAAACTACGCCTTCAACGTCACAACCAATCCCAGGACAAACAATAACTGTGCAAACAGGGACATTGATTCATCTGCCTGCGGAACCAGTTATGCAAAATCCTTAAGAAAAACTAACCGGAAATAAAAGGGCCCAACATGTCACAAGAAAGACACGAAATACTGACTCATTCTTTCAAACACGTGGAGTCTTATTAACAGTGGCGTCACGTCAAGATTAACGTAAAAGTCCCGGAAAACAGCTGAACTCTGTCCTTAGCCGTTACTATTACATAATGCTAGTTAGCTCAGTTAGCCACGCAGCTAGCATAGACAGGGCTTTGTGCGAGCTGGCTGAAAATGATCTCGGCCACAAATTCACGCTTTTCTTTAAGGTTTTAAGACACTAAAAGCGTGTGAATACCACGAGAATATGTCTGAGCTGTGTCCACTTACTTACCATACTGTTATTCCAGTTCCCGTGATTATTTCCGGAGTTGCAAGTCGAGGGCCAGCCGGGTTTCAGATTGGACTGCATTTGATAATGATGATGCTTGGACTAAGCGCTCTTACCGGCAGCCGCCCTGTCATCTATCATTGTGGGGGGGGGAAACAAATCTGCAGCGAGCCTCGCGTTACTTATCGGATGTGTCAGGTCGTCTGAAACGCCAGCAGCAATGTTGTCGTTTTCCTATACAAGTGCGGACCCCTCGGTTAAAGTCGGGAAACGACTGAATGACGTGAGCGCCCCCGTGCTGCGCCTTTAATAGCGAGGCGCTGCTAAACCTACAGAGGTCTCACTCCGTCAAATTTTTTCTGGCACAACCAACGTTTGGACGGAGAAAGTAACGCCAGAGTCTACCATCATTACACTAGCTATAAATTTATGATATGATTTTAAGACGTTAAACGTCTATTTTCTGGGCGTATTTCAACAAAAATATACATGTATTTACATAATGTACGGCGTTTTGAATTGTTCCGGCTCTGTGACCAATATTGTGTAAATACGATCTTTGCCGACGCATGCGCGCCAGTAGACGTTATTGGCCAATGGGGGGAAAGGTCATAAAAATAACATTTTAAAAACATTAACTGCTATTTTAATCTTCAAAACCCACCGATGCCTGAAGTTATATTTATTTAAAGATGTATTTTTTAAAGGGCCGTTCCTGCGTGTTAGAAATGTAGTGAATCGCCAGCACACGAAGGGTTAAATGCTTACAGGAAGTTCATCCCTGGCGTGTATAAAGACGCTTCCTGTGCTAATTTTGTGAGAAACATGTATTGAAACATTAATGGCTTGACGGTATATACAGATATAAGACTCAAATAAGAAGAAGAAGAAGCAGCAGCACAAGATGAACTACGTACCAGGGACGGCAAGCCTCATTGACGACATCGATAGTAAGTTGGAGGAGTGATTTGATGGAGCTGATTTGGTTTAAAAAGAAACAATCGTTTCAAGATGTGCAGCATCGTGTCCGACGCAATCTGGATCATCTGCAGCGGGTTTAAACTGTCATTTAACGTGCTCCTCTTGTTTGTATCCCACAGAGAAGCACCTGGTGCTGCTCCGAGATGGAAGAACATTGATTGGTTACCTGAGAAGCATTGATCAGTTTGGTAAAACTCTTAATTATATCCACCTTTAGTATTGTTTTTCTGAGTCGGGTCACTGCATTGGTTACAGCAGGCTCAGTTTATCTGTCATTATGATTCCCATGATCGGGTCTGTTCTTTATTTACCCCGGTTCTTTTGTCCTCCAGCCAATTTAGTTTTTCACCAGACAGTTGAGCGCATCCACGTGGGAAAAAAGTTTGGTGACATCCCCAGAGGAATATTCATCGTGAGAGGAGAAAATGTGGTGCTGCTTGGAGAGATAGTAAGTAGACATAATCTCGTTTTCACTTTGGTTTTTGAAATGGTCAGAAGGATGCAAAGTAAGGCTCAGTAGACATTGTTACTTACATTTCCTTATGTCCTTCACACACTGCATTGATACAGTTGTGAGAGTAGGGGTTGACATAAATGGTGGCTAAGGGTCCTCGGGCTAGAGCCTATCCCAGTTGACACAGATTGAGATCTGGCCTTTCTCACAGAGAGACGCGCAGCCATTCGTGGGCCAATTTAGAATCACCGATTAACCTAACATGCTTATCTTTGGACTGTGATAGGAAGCCGGAGAACCCTCACCAGTCTTTCTGGTACAAACGGATGCCAGAAAGACTGGCGGGCTCAAACTCCTTCCTAAGAGACAACAGTGCAAGCTGCTGATGCATCCTTAACATCTGACTCTCCTTAATCATGCTTGTCTGATGTACGTCAACAGCCAAGGTGACGCATTACAGGGACACTGCTGTGACACAGGACCTTCAAGGCCAGTACACTGAGCAGAAGTGATTCATGAACTCTTCTTGCGCTGTTATTCCTACCTAATGCTTGACAGCAGTACTCTGCTGTTAAAGGGATCCACATCATGCTGTGACAGTACAGCATGTCATGATGTAAAACTGCTTCAGTCATAGCAGAGGCTCGACAGCACCTGTACTCTGATCTGCTTCTCAGTGCTTTAGAAGATGTTGCTGCCTTTTGTGACATTTGCCTGATGATTAGGTTCATTTGATTGTTAATTTATTTCTGTTCTGAAATGCTGATGGAAATGGAACGGCAGTGATTAACTACTTGGTGCCTTTTGGTGAGCTTGCATCTGGCAAACGATGACAGTAAGCTGACATCAAATCCTGTGTCACATCAGAAATGATATTGACGCACAAAAAGGCACATAGTCTCAGCATACGACATCTTCTGCACGCATTCATTTATGTATAGTTTTAAGAAAATGTTTGTCAAGCATGAATAAACAGCATTTCTGTTCATGCTGCTTATTATCGGAAAGCAGTTTGTGATTGATGGTTGGCATGAACCATGCAGTCTTCTTGAAGATTTGCAGATGTTTCATGCCTTTAGTTCTAGGAAGTGGCAGGTGTGCAACCTGTCCTCCTTAACTGGAAAAAGAAAATGGCTTTTGGAGAAGTCATTAGCACAGAGGTTCACTTTATTCTTCTACATTATTTGTTTGATAAAGACACTTGTTTGCTTCATTAGTGTAATCAGATTGTTTGTCAATGATCAAATTTTTGATCAGGTATTTTATTAGTAACAATTCAAAGTTCCAGAACACCCAGTAATTCCAATTAAAATGTGTTCAGTAGTATTATCTGAGTGTTTCAGGCCTGTGCAAGATGTGACACGGTCTCTTGTCTTTGCAGGACATGGATAAGCCCTGTGACACAGTGCTGCAGCAAGTCTCCATTGAAGAGATCTTGGAGGAGCAGCGGCTGCAGCAGCAAGCCAAACAGGAGACGGAGAAAGTCAAAATGCAGGTCCTGAAGGACCGAGGCCTGTCCATACCCAAAGCTGACAACCTAGATGAATACTAGCAGCCTAGTTGCTGTGGGCCTCTTTCTCAGTTGGCATTGAACTGACAAGTTTGAAGTTGAACCTGAGAGCGCATGGGAGCCTGACTTTTTGTTTTTAAGTGGGGAGAACATACCATTATATGGAGTCCAGCTACTGTGATGTACTGTATCAATTTAATTTGAGGTTTGTAAAGGGGGGGGGGG